AATTCTTGGTGCTCGTCCGGAGGAGTTTACACAAGCAACTGGCGTGATAGAGTTTCTGTAACTTAACGTATTGTGCTTGGTTGTTTCGTTACACAGTAATTTCTTCGCCGCCCTTCGAAAGTGCGAGAGGAAAATGATATAAATACATGGACTGAAGCTCGAATTGACAAGTGGAAGAAAATCTGAAAGCATGAAGTTCAGCGCTGCCCAATCAATASAWAAACTTGCTTCGGTTGACAGTAGTGGATATTCAAAATACAATTCAACAAGAATAAAAGCCTGGWAAGTACCCCATGGAATGTAGCAGCATGAGTACAGAAGCAATGAAGAAATGATCATCTTGATAGCGCCAACCATTTGCTTTCTTCGGCGTTCTCTGTGCACTTCTGGTAAATTGAGGGGGATTCCAGTCCTCTTGTATAATTGTCTGAAGGTTGCAACGCTGAGAACGAATATCGTGCCATACATTATTGCGCATAGTGTATATAATACAAAGAAATGCACAAATAAGTAGAGCGACCATGTCGAAGGCATTATGCATTCACGAGTTCCATCGGTTTCGGCCAGTCTGAGGTATATCAAAGAGTAAGACGATAAAATCCCTGACACGAACCAAGAAATAGCGATTATGATAAGGCGTTGTTTCAATGAGTATGTTGTCGATCTTGCTGTTGTTCGACCCACAACTCTGTATCGCTCCAATGTTATTATAAAGAGAGTTACTAAGGACACGAGAAGCGATGTGACGAAAATGAAAATCTTAGCTTTACATAGAAAAGTGCCCCAAGTCTCATTAATGCCATCCCATATGTTCTTATTTAGCAAACTTGGGATTGTGAAAACAGAATTCATGACAATCAGTATAAGATCTGCCATTACCATGTTCACAATTAAGTGATGGAGGTTCGTTTTCACGGTGAAGTGGAAAGCAAGGACAAAGATTAGGATGTTTCCAAAAAGGCCCAGACCACCAACGATTAAAATAGCCATGATTTGARCAGTTCTTGGAATACTTGTGTCCTGATGATCTTCAAAGTTACAACTGTCGTTCATGACCGTTGTATTAAAGTCAACCATCGCCTTCAACTGTCGAGAACTTATCTGTTATAACGACAGCTGTTGAGGATGTGAATTTGGCCCTGCGATAGCTATAATATATACGTACGCTGACAGCTATTTGTACTCGAGGCTATACACGCACCAGTATCGACTCAAAATAGTCAAATAACAAATAACATTTTTATTTGCCAATGAATTGGCGTCTTCMGTCTGACAAGTATTGAAATCCTTAAACAAAGAATAGAAAACCGACGTTGTACAATTTCTGTGCTCATCTGAAATTGCCAAGCATATGAATACGTCTTCTATTGAAATGATGACTTTCACTTCGCGATATCGAGGATTTGCAAATTTAGACACGTATGACGACTGACGTTTTGTGTACAGCTTCGCGTGCATTGAAGCAGATTTAGTTTAAAATGCTTCCTTTTAGAATAGTCAATATCAAATAATGAATTACTTAAGATGTATTCGTATAAGTTGCTATAGAAGTATAGAATAATTAACAGCTCAAAGAGAATTTAACTTGACGTGCATTCCGAGAAAAAGACATTGTTAATTCAATATATCCTATATTATTTGACATTCTCTTTCTTTCCTTTCTGTCGTCATGCTAAGATGAACTAATGAACAGGGATACAAAATAAAACTTTTACAGCTATTAAAAACACTTCCAGTATTTGCCCAATAACTCCGTCTGCTGATAAGAAAACACCCTCTGTTCATTTAAAAAGTCGCTTGTCTTTGGTTATGGAAATTTAGCGTAATTTGCTATCTCATTATTTAACCTATAAATCTCTTTGTTTAGATGTTAGAGAAGGTGATATATCAGCATTAAGGTTGATTTGAGCTTTTATCTCTTTTGTGATTTTTTATCTTTTTGCTTTTTTGCACTCTTCATTTTTAACTCGGAGATGGCGTAAGCAATCGAAGAGTTATTGGAGGGGGACGATGTGTGTCACTCACTCACTTTCCTGTAAACTCGGTTGCCTTAGCAACTGCTATATTTTGACTTGTTAATTAGTTGAAATTTATCTTCACGGTCTGTTTCTTTTTCTTTTGAACCGAAAGAAATTCATGTACCCGACGTGGCTCGAACCCCCGACCTTCCGCGCCAACGGCAGAGACATTACAACTAGACCATGTGCCCTAAGATTTTTGAACGGCCAGAGTGTGTAATTGGCCGTTCGTCGCGTTCAATGGACCTCCCTGGATACTTCCCACAAGTCTGCGCGCCGCGCGCATCAAATCGAGGTCAGGGTAAACGAGCAAATCGTTGAAATCTCTTTTTTCACAGTTTTATGTGAGTTTACTTCAATTTTTTGCTGTATTTACTATGGAAAAAGGCGAATGCTATTGCAACGAAGATTGTTTTTTTTGCAAGGAGCAAGAATTTTCTTTGTTAATCGTATATAATTTTACACAAAAAAACACATTACGAGCGGGAAAAATATCACGAAATGCCGTCGAAATAGAGACTTGAAAAAACGTTGTCAAGAATGCTACGGATGCAGCAATAATCATTTGGCAGTAGTTATTGAGGGAGACAGTGGTAAGCAATATAGAAAACTGAGCTCAATTACTCTACTTTTATGAGTTGCTCTGAACTCCTTCTATTAAGATTGAAGAATTCGAAAAGATGCAATGTTTTCCCTCATAAGTTTAACGATTTTTCCTGTGAACTTCTATTCAAGATCAAACGTCAAAGTCGTAACGCATTTTTGAATGTATTAAAAAAACAACTTTATTTTTATCTTGAGTACCTTGAATTTGAGCCGTTTGMCATTATCAAAAGTCTGACTCTGACTTTCCGGGCAGAGAATTTAATTCAAAATCACTTCAAAGTAACGATGGCTGCAGCAGCGTTAGCTTCTTTTTATGGTTAAACAACAAAATAAAAACAAAATTTATTATGTTTTAGCAGTTAATAAAGTACTTTTCAACTATTTTATTGAGTTTGTTTACATTCTAATTTACCCTGACCTCGGTTTGATGCGCGCGACGCGCAGATTTGTGGGATGTATCCAAGGAGGTCCGTGATTTCGATGGCTACCTGCCAAACATAACACAGGAAACCCAATATCAAAGATAGGTGACAGCGTGGTCGCGGACCATTTACTAGACTATTTGCCGGGAAATATTTTGGTAAGAAACTGATTATCATTAATAACTTCACCATTGATAGCCATAATTATCGAATTGTGAGTGAACCTGGTTAAAGATAAGAATTAAGTAACGGTCACAAGTGTATTTATTTAACTGTAACCTTGTCTCAGAGATTATGCATGAGGATAAGAGCAATTAAGTACTTTTCAAAGTTTTTTGAAGGCAGCGTTTCAAGGAAAATTACAAAGGATTACTGAAAAGAAAATCTATCCGCATTTGGTCGTGCGTGTGKTTTTTTTTCAAGCATTAGAAACCAACAACTGACCAAGGTTTAAGAATCTTTCTACTTACCTTTACTGGTGCCACGTTATCGGATCATTGGTTACGTTTTTAAGTTCACATTGGCTTATTGTTACGTAACGGYCTAAGGTTGAATGAAGCCATAGTTCTAGTTAATCCTTACAATTTTTAGGATTTGTACTTTTAGGGTTTAGGTAATTGCATTTTAACACAGTTAAAAACCTCAGTTCAAATATACATGTTGTATATATTATCAGTTAACATTCATAAATCTCTAAAATAAAGGGACCAGATTGWAAAATAGAATGGCTTCATTTTATAKATTTTAATTTTAGATTGATTTGTTCGACGTTGCTACGAGGCAGTGTCTATCAGTGTTGAATGCGTTTTCATTTGATCCAATCGATTTAGGGTATTACTCGGATTTTCTTTTCTATAGAAAATTATAAATCTTAGTGTAATTTTCATTGACTTTATTGTATAGTMGATWGATGTGTTCTATTGTTCGCTGTTGYGTACCTGTCGTTTTGTCTACATCGTGAATAGATATGTACACTGTAGATATCCCTGGATTTTTCTTTTTTTTTAAACAAACTTAGCTTATTGCCATACATCGGGTGACATTTGCTTAGATGTCTTATAGATTAGATCTTTTGATATGTTATAAATGAAGAGGCCGAAAAAGAGCACAAATACGGCATTTTTTAAAAAGAATATATTATGTTTATCGGTCATTAGAAAAGCAAAAAGCTTTAAAAAATGATCTCAGATTTTGCTCTCCGAAACCCTGGGATTCTTCAACAATTCTTCAGTAGCCTACATGAGAATAATCAAAACCACAGGCATAAATCGCTAAAAATGGAAATGGCCTGAAACTTCACAGAAATGTAAAGAAAAACACAATACAGAGATGTTTATTTTTGCTATATTCTAAATATTTCTAAAAAGTACACAAATGCCTAGCTTGGGCTACCTGTAATCGCCTGGCTATTTTGATGCTCAACTCAAAACTCTTCAAAGATGAAAATACATACTTGGATTTTCAAATTTTGTCACGAAGAATACACAGAGAGGTCACACATATATTTTATTTCATAAATTCGATGGTAGGTTTTTCATTAACTAAATAAGTTATGCAGGAGGCCCACTTTTTTGRAGCGAGCCGTGTTCAAAACTCGGATCGCCAGTCTATTTTGATGCTCAACTACAACTCTTCAAAGGCGAGAATACATACTTGGATTTTCAAATTTTCTCACGGAGAATACAYAGAAAGGTCACATATATTTTATTTCTTAGATTCGATGGTAGGTTTTTAGGATTGTCTTTAATATCATTGCAAGTCTTGAAATCTGGTCTCTTTTCGTCGAACGGACTGTCATGTTGCGCTTGAGTAATCAAATCATGGACTTTTTGTCCATTTTAAACTATTTTTAAACTTAAAAGTTTGATATTAACTTGAAGTGTATCAAACAAYTTTTGTTATTGTTTACGAAATAGTTTACTGACCATTGATCGACATTTTACAAAATGTAGATATGGTAGACAAATTAACWGAGGTGGACGATTTGAAGRAGAYTGCTTGTGAAGTCATCGACCAAAGCGCTCAATATCTCAAAGACTTGAGCCAAAARATATGGGAAAACCCAGAGTTGAATTTTAAAGAAACCAAAGCACACGCTTTTCTCACTGACTTTTTTAAAAAACGAAAGTTTGAWRTCACGCCAAGTTGGACGCTAGACACGGCTTTCTTGGCCAAGTATGGCAGTAATGAGGGACCTCGTGTGGCAATCATGTGTGAATATGATGCTTTACCGGGTATTGGACATGCTTGTGGACATAATCTAATTGCAGAAGCAGCTGCTGCAGCCGCTTTGGGTAAATATATTGTTGGTGTTATTAGCTCCCCTTGCAGACATCATTAGTATCGGTCAAATGTCTACTCTAATAGCGTCTTTGAAAGAGCAACGATGAATCGGAGTTCCTACCGAAAATATACCGTTTTTATTAATACAGCTTCCATCTTGAATTCTATTGATTTTAAGCATCAATAGGCATTCAGGAAGAAACTTGGCTGTGTCTAGATGGTATCTTTTAAAACTAGGTATCGATTAGATTAGATCTATCTATTCGAAGGGTTTGGAGTTTAACTCTTTCTCGACTGTCCTTTGAAATTTAKGTCGAATGCGACCTATGCGTCTAAAATCTATGGTTACTGAAATATTAAGCTATAGCCCTGAAATTGCTCGTACGAACTTAATAGTAGATATTGTCGATCTTACAGTTGAAAGAATTTCGCAACAAGGAAAAAAGGCACAAAACATTACTCTAAAATGAATGCCAAAAATTGCGTTTGAAGGACCGCAGAAACACTGATTTCCAGCTCAATTTGTAGCGTCAAAATATGTTCCCCTAGCAAAAAGTCCACTTGGTTTGCAAACCCCTTTGATAGAACGTGCTCGTGACGTTTTTATTTTGTCAAAGTACAACAAACGGTACAACAAACT